CTCCGGGGCACCGCACCTGTGTGCACCCGCCCCGGAGGGACCGCCGGAGGTCGCCGCCTCCACACCAGCGGCGTTGGCGCAGCGGTGGGGTGGCCTTGCGCGCCCCTCTCCTGGGTCCCAGTTACCGGGACGTGGGGGCTTGCCTGGCCCCCAGTCACGCTCGTGCTGCAGGTTGAGTGGCAGGTGGACTGAGCCTGCCTTTTCACCACTCTCTGCCCGGCGTGCGGACGGAGGGGTGGTGGTTAGTGGTCTCCCCTTCGTCTCCCATCTTTGGGAGCAACTTCCACTTTTTACCTTGGCTAGACTTACTGCTTTCCAAATTAAATGGAGAGCGAAATTTGTGAACCCAGACCGTTTTATAAATTCGTTTTTGGGGGAGGGGTGTTGGAAGGGGTAGTGTTCTGACTTTCTGAGGGTCCCCGTTTCTAAATCTGAAAGCTAAGGAGTTTCCCTGGAAGACCAACCCAACCGCTCAAAATTTTGACGATTTCGGAAGTTCTCAGAACCTTGCAGCTTGTCTTTGGGCCCCCTAGATTAGTGACTATGTAAGGTTGACTTTTTTTTTTTAAAGATCTTTAAGTATGCTAGAACAGGTGATTAAGTCAAAGGTATTGTAACCTAAGTGTGTCAAAGCTCTTAAAATCATAAGCTACCTGAAATTCAGCAGCCACTGTGTGTTAAAAACTTCTTTGAATACAAAGTGCTGAAAGCTTTTCTTAAGGACTTTCTGTGTACCATCTTCCTCCACCCCAAGTTTCCCCCCCTTTCCCCTCTTGGAATGCAGTGAAAAGACACAGTTTTTTGTTTTGTTTTGTTTTGCTTTCATTGGGGGTAGGGATGGTTTTGGCCTGAATTAAAGTTATTAGTCTTTGTGTGAACACTAGGAGAGCTCGGCCCATTCTTCACCATCAAAAGTTTTTCTTTGCTTATTTAACCTGTTGACTTGTCTTTGCTCATTGGTGCTTACTGCTTAGAATCCATAATTCTCAGGATTGTGACACAGTGAAGTTGTTTCGTGTCCTGTCTAGTCTTCGGTTTTTAATATAATCTCTAGTCTTTGTATTGATATAGGGGGATGGGGAGAAGTTGAGAGTGGGGTGGGTAGAGAAAACTCGGAAGGGATCAAGTCAGGGAAGGTGAAATAGAATGAT